GAATTGAATAATGTTGAAGAGGCGAGGATTCTAAAATTTTAAATGGCTAAATTAATTATATTAATACTTTTTTATGTTTGGTCAAATATCACATTGAAATATTTTTTAAAAAAATTACTATCATTCACATTGTAAATATTTAATCCTTTTTTCACTTACACCTCAAAAGTTACTTTTCAAATCCACTTTTTACATGTAAAAAATCATTATTACCCCCTTTGATTTTGTGTTGACTTACTAAAAAGGTGTTTAATGTATACAATGACATTTATACTCCTATGGGGCCCATATTAAGTGACCAAAATACCAATTGTAATATATGCGTATATATAATTTTTACAAGAAATTCAACAAAATCCAAAAAATAAATAAGTAAAACACAGAAAATAAATCGCTTAATTCTTCACACACTAATTCTTCATACATAAATGTATATATGTGTGTGTGCGTGTGTGTGTTGTTGCATAACTAATGAGGGTAATTTTGTCCTTATATAATTATGATGTTTATATTAAAATGCATTAAAGAAATAAGGATAAAAATATCATTTCACACCCATTTTGACACTATCAGGAGCATAAAAGTGATTTGAGGTGTGAGTGATAGTATTTTGAAAGATATTTTAATGTGATATTTAATCAAACTTGAGGAAGTGTCAATGTAATTAACTTTAAGAAGTTTGTAAAAATTTATAAAGTAGAGAATATTCTAGAAATGTAGAGAGTTTAATAGGAATAGTAAATATTTAGAAAATTAAATATAAAAAAAACGTAAAAAATAAATGTTAGTTATTGATTATAATATATTCTAAGTTCCTAACCCTTCATTCTAAGGGAAACTTAGGATATTACTGAGAATGTAAGTGCTAGTGTGAACATAAATTGTTTTAGCAAGCGTATGGTTGCTTTTGACGATGTTTTCCTCACTGAATTTAAAGTGTATGAATGTTATTATGAATTTCAAAAACTGTAATGTGTGATTTTCTATTAATTCTATAGCCTAGTATTCTATTTTTAAGTAGATTCGAACGACATTCTAAAAAAATTTTAATATCAATCCATTAGAGTTAATATTTCCATACTCAGAAGAACAAGTTATGTAAAAGAAAAATAATAATAATAATTTAGAAAATTTTCACAAAATATTGATGGTTTTATACACTACATTAAAAAAAACAAATTACTGACATAAACAAATCAAAATTAATGCCGGAACTAAGATTTTAGACCATGTCTACATTCAGACAATCATAAATCTATTAATATTCTAAATACCAATAAAGGGATAAATAGCAAGCAAGCCAATTCCAACATAGCTTAAGAGGAATTGAAATTTAATTTTAATGAATCAGGGGTCATATAATTGGATTTTAAGTTGGAATTTTGTTATTTGGAATTGAGGGTCTATTTTAGCCTCCCAATAATTTAGCTTTGTCAATTTTGTCAATTTAGCAATGCAATAATTTGAATATTTATCTCGTTTTTTCATCGTACTACTTGACAAACAAGTCATAGTAGTAACGAAGTGAAGTGATGGAGAAAAATTCCAATTCATGTAAGACTATTTTAATCTTTTAAGTTTTCAAATTGTCCACATCTTTGAGTTATGAAAAATAAATTTTTGGAAAAACAAATTTTTTATTTTAAAGAGGAGAGACGAATTCAATTTTTTAGAAAATTCCCGTCTTATGCTTTTCAAAAATACTTTCAAGAAGAGAGGAGCAATAGTTCATTTAATTTCTACAGCCAAAAATACATATATATTATAAAAATTAAAAAATTCACATTTGTAAAATACTTTCTGATTCTGTGTGGATCAAAAAGTTAAACTGATATGAAAATCTTATTCTGCAGAATGAAAAGAAAACATTGATAAATAAATTAATTAATAACCACTCTATCACATCCAGTGACAAGGAACTCTAACATGAGATGCAGCCAACATACAATTTTGCTTGTATCTGGTTTTGGCTAAGAAATGAGTGACAGATGAGCATGGTTAGCCTAGGCAAGTATAACTATTAGTGTGACCACAAAAATCAACATCACATCAGTCACTGTATAATTTTAAATAGTAACTTTAATAATTCGCGTAAATCATTAATCACAAATAAACATAAATCACAAAATTTTAAAATTTAATTATTTTCACATAATTCATAATGTGTAAATAAATAGTTAGATATAAATATCTCGATCTCTGATTGTAAATCAAGATATTTTATGTGGAACGAATAACGTGATAAACTGCAATAGTCAAAATGTAGAAGTTGATTTCTCCCTTTTGCATATATAAATGTTATAGGTGTTGTTTTCATAATTGATGAGATATATGCAGTTTTATAAAGGTAGAGAAATGACCCCTTTTTTTTGTAAGTAATCTTAATTTCACTTTCCATCAAAGTAAGGAATAAATAGGAAAACACTTCTCTAATAATGAATGACTATAAATGTAATTTATAAGTTGACCAAATAATATAATATTAATCTGATATCTATTTACTTAACCACTCATTAATAAAATATATCACATGTCCAACTCATGTGGGCCACACAATTAATAATTAATCTTACATAAATTACCAATATGGTGCGGCTTGTCCGCATGGTCTCGGCCAATTATAATACAATAAGACAAATAAACAATTAAATAAAATTAATATATTTTATTACGTGTCAAATTATAACCTTAAATTATTCTTATATGCACATACTAAATAATACTAAATAACATGGGTTCTTTACACATTTTTTATATTGCGTAGTTTTTTTTTTTTTTTTTTTTTTTTTTTTTTTTTTTTTAGCACTTTATCTTAAATTAAATTTAAATTAAAGACACATTTTTTTCTCATTTATTCTCATAATAAATTCAAGACTGGTAAATATATATATGCATTGCAACTGGAAAAAAAATTGCAGAGTGAGACACTTCCCTACCCTATATGTTCCACAACTTATATATCAGTCACAATATATATATATATATATTTGGGTAAATAAGTCGCAATTATATTTTATAGGAAAATTATATATTTTATGACTTTTTTATCGGACCGTATAATAATTTGATGCGGCAGTTAATGATTGTTGTACACGTTTAGAAAAAATATACATATATATTCTTTTAAAAAAGTGCTCGTTAGACTCTATTTATTGAGTAACTACAAACAAATCGATAATTTTTGCAGCAGTACTCATATTCATAACACAATGAACTTGCTAATAAGGCATAAAAGTATTTAATTAATCCACTAGCGGATCCCAAGGCATAAATTTCTGCAAATAAAAAAGAAAAGGTGTTCCTTTTAATTGATCCCACCACTTGCATGTTGACAAAGTTTTTGCTGAAAATATGGAAGAGCTCGACTTGTCATTTTCTTGGGAAAGGGTAAGCCATTTATACACGAACACCTCCTCTACCTTGGGAGTAGGAGGAGAAATCGATTCGGAGTAATAAATATTTGACTTATCTAAATAAATGTGTTAAAAATATTAAAGTTATAGTAAAAATTTCTTATTTGCTTTTGTAAAATTGTGGTCTTACTTTTGTTTCAATTCTCGTCTTGTTGCACTTTTTTAAGTTTAAGTTGAACCGAAACAGGGAATTGAAAAGTTAATAATTTGTAAATTATAATTTTTGATTGTTCCTCGTGAATTTTAATTATATATATAAGTTATAAGTCACGTCATGTAAATTTGTGTATTTTGTGACATAATTTACAATTTTTAAAATTTTTGGCATTTATTGATTGTGAATGTCTTCTATGAATGTTTGTGATCACACTGGTAACAGGGATTTATTTGTGAATGGTGCCCTCCCACTTGTGTCATTTCAACATCCATGACCACAAACTGGTGGATGAAGGAGAAACACATAAAAATTGGATGGATGTCTATAACCCTTTCATTCACTTGCTCATAAATGCATTTTATCCAAAATAAAAAATAAAAAATAGTATATTTTATATTATTACAATCTTAGCCACCTATCATAAGGGTGATGTCGTCCTAACTAGCCAGGTTAAGCTTCTTGAAATTTTTTTTTTTTTTTTTTTTTTACACGGATTGGATTGTTTTGAATCAGGTAGGAATGGACCTATTAAGGGCTCGGTGGTGCAGCAGCCCCCCACTAAAAAAATTTTATTTACAAAATTATTTATAATTTTTGTTAAAATATGAAAAATTCCGTCACTCAATTTTTGATAATACAGCATTATATACTTTTGTTGTTCAAAGTCCGTTCACTCTTATACAATTTTCTAAGTGTTATGACTAGGTCTTGTGATTATTTCTTACTAGATTTTTTCAGGTAAATATTTGTGCTAGTGTTGCTCTAATGCAAATTTAAATTTTAGCATTTTATATAAATTAATGTTAAAAAATCATATCTACCATGCTCTCTCTTCTCTGTTCCAAAATAAGTTTTTCGTTTTGAAAATCTAACTAATGATTTTTAATATTATTTTTATTTTATTATGATTTTTATTATTTTTTTGTTGTATTAGTAATAAATAAATTACCAAATTTATTTCTAAATGGATCCAAAGTGATGTGTTGGTTTAATTTTCATAGGATTAATGCAAGGTTAAATTAATAATATTATTAAATATATATATATATTCACTTTTTAAATAGAATGATTATTTTATTTGGAGACAAATAAAAATAAAAATGTTGACACTTATTTAGAACTAATAAGTAATATTTTCTTTCCACACCCCGACAAGAAGGAATAAAAGAGATGCACAGGGAAATACACATGTCATGCATATGTTTTAAGCATTATATATATATATATATATATATATATATATTTAAATTTTTATATGTGTATAAACATAGTACAGACTTCACTTTCTGCCTTTTCATTTTTGTGGTTGTGGTTACATGGATTTGTTGTCATGTCACATCCTTTTTTTTCTTCTTTGAAAAGTAATGTCACCTATAAATTATTGTCACTGCATTTCTTGTCAACCCAAAGAAAAAAAACTCAAAATTAAAACATCAGTTGAGTAAAATCTATTTCGGACTATGGTAATAAGATATTTGCGGTTCATATTTTATGTGGTTCCTGGTTGAATGTTGATGGGTTTGGTTTTTTCCGAGACTTTTTGTGTATAAATGATCTTCTCTGGGATTGTTTTGGGGATTGAAGTAAGCAAAGAAAATCAGAAATAACCTGTTTATTGCTTACAATCTGTTTGCTTTATTGTTTCTTCCAATGGAAGAACACACAGCTCATGAACCTCTTCTTGTAAGCAAAGGTGACAGATTTGGTCATGTCAATAAAACAAGCTTTCTGGTTTCATCTGTGAAATGGATTCTCAAAGCCGCAATGTGGGTGATTTTCATTGCCTGGGCTGCTTTTATTTTCTTGTTGCCCTCGGAATTTGTGAACCAATTGTATGAGAAGTGGATTTTGGCTACCTATCACTCTGTGTTTGGTGTCACAGGTGAGTTAGTAATTTGGAACTACTTCCTTTTCTTTTAGATTTTCATTTATTATATTGAATGATTGATTGTTTACTCATCTCCAAATTTTGTTATTATTCTGTATGATTTGATTGTTTTAGTGATCTCCAAAATTCTATTTAACAAAACTGCAGGAAGTATATTTCTGGTGTGCAGTGCCCCAATTCTTCTCATTGCATTTCTTTCTATAGCACATCTGATTCTCTCCCAGGTAGAAGAACCCCCAGAGTAAGTAATTTGTCCCATGATTAAAAACTTAATTCTCATATTATATATATGCACAGAGTGAATATATATATATATATATATATCCATCATCTTGTTCTTTAAGTTCAATTTTGTATATCATATATGCTAATTTTGTCTTGTGTAACTTTGCCTTCAGAAAAAAGACTCCGCGTTTCCAGTTCTGGACGTTCCCTGTTATTGTGGATGGACCATTTGGGGTTGTTTCTGCTGCCGAGTTGATCGGAATACTGCTCTTTTCTTTGTATATTGTCTGGGCTGTTGCTGCTTACACTGTGCAAAACCTCAACAGTTTGTCCCAGTATCAGTTGACTCTTTTTGAGGAAAGGTGAACACTATAACCATTGTGACTATTTGTAATTCTTTTAAAGGGTTTAGCTTTTTGTTCGCATCAATTTCGGTAGATATTAGTTCTCACCATTATTCTACTTTTACCTCTTGTTCTGTTTCATTGAGACCCATGTTTCTTTGTGGTTGCGACTTTCTAGCTTGCAGTGAGCTAGTTTTTCTAAAATTCTGCAGATAAAAATCTTAAGATTACAACTAGGAAAAAAAAATTCTTAAGTTTAAAGCCTCCTGAAATGATTAGAGTTTGATCAGATTTGAGTTTAAAGCCTGTTTAATTCAAATTGACATTTTGGTTCTAAACATTTTGTGTGTGTTTGGGGTTTTGATCTTCACATAATCACTGTTCCTTTTTTCTGATTTGATGAATATATCATTTATTAAAAAGTAAGAGGGACTTAGCCATGCAGACACAGGGGCACATGTTACATTATCAATGGAGTTACTGTTAGGAGTTCAAACACTTCATGGGTGAGATTTACGGTAGCTCTTTGAGCCTCTTTCGTGCGTCCAAATAACTGGATTCATAGTTCTTAGTGACCCATTTCCTTTAGAGAAATCCACTTATATTGCTAAGAGGGCCAAACTCAGTTTTGAGGATGCTACTATGATAATTGCCTAGAGTCTGTATCTGCACGAGGAAACATCGCCATGAATTCTTGTAATCTTTCCCCTTCTTATTCAATTGTCCATAATTAGTTGATCCAACTATAAGAAAAGTATATATTCAAAACATGGATTTATATATATATATATATTATCTGTTTCAGTTTTACAAAGCCGCTTTCAGTTTATTTCTATTGTAAAGATCGATTTTGTTGACTGAGTTCTCATTGGGACCTAAATTTTCCAGTATTTGGATGCTGAAACGCACTGGACTTCGCTTTGGTTCAGTTGGGCTATTTTGTTTGGCATTTTTGTTTCTCCCAGTTGCAAGGGGATCGATTCTTCTCCGCCTTATACATATCCCTTTTGAGCACGCAGCCAGATATCATGTATGGTTGGGACATCTGACAATGCTGATCTTTACTCTTCATGGACTTTTCTATGTAATAGCATGGGCAATGGAGGGCGATCTGCTAGCTAGTGTGAGTTCTCATGCATGCTTCTCTTGCACATACATGCATAAATACATACAAACCATTAAAACATACGTAAATATGTTCGTATTCCAGATCTTTCTCTATTTGTTTCTTTGTTGGTAGAAAGATGCATAGCTCTGCGCTCGGTAAGTGTTTGACGGTCCCTTTGAGTGACAACATAGTCAAGACCATTCGTTTTTGCTATCTTCTGAGATATACACACACGTAAGTGATAAGAAAGGGAAAAAGACTTTGAATGATAAAAACAAATACTCAGCTTAACTGAACAGAGCTGCGTTGATACATAAATCATTGCCAGGACTTCTATTTAACCATATACAATCACATATTCTCCAACTATCTGGCAAAAAATAGATGATGAGGCATATTCTGTTGAACTAGATATACGAAATTAGAAATGAACACATAAATAAAATTATAAGCAGTAGATAAACTTATAGGTTGAAGACTAAAGTATGACAATAAAGACTTCTGCTGACCTTGAACATAGTCTTGCCTCTTTTTGGAAATTCGCCCGTGTCCTTGCTTAACGCCAACAGCATATAGGATTGAATAGTTGAAACCTTCTGGTCGTTTGTACTATCACCACATTATTGTCATGGTTTCCATTGAAGTGACATAGAATTATGGAAAAAGATAAGAGAAAATGAAAGAAAGCCCTATTGAAGCAGAGTTTAAAGTTTGACCACGCAACTGATGTGGAGAGATTTTGTTTGATTAAGTGGAACCACATCGGGGTGGAGCTACATGGATTCCCCGACCCTTGACATAAAAGTTTTTCCTTCTTCCTCACTTTTCTTGTTGAGCGGTTGGAGCCTCATAATGATGTTGTATTCAGCTCAACTTCTCTAAATATTTTGTGAAGACAATTGGATTCATTCAGCATTTGAAAATTTTAAGAATTTGAAAGGCAATATAGGAACAATTTTGGAAGGTTTTAACAAGTAATTACTGATTGATACTGTCAGTGAAGGTAGTGTTGAAAATGGGAAGGTGATATGATTTATGAAGTAATCACGTACACTATCATAGATTATTCAATTAAAGTTCTGTGCAACAAAAGCATCCTGCTAGATGTTTCGTGTAGGATGGCAGTTGGAATTGCATGGTAATAATGTTTAGAATTGATTACTGTTTTAGAGTTCATGAAAAAAGAAAGGGCAATAAGATGGTTTGTAAATGGAATTAGGTTAGAATAGATGAAATTTAGTGGCTAGAAGTTATTGCTTTTCAAAATGATAGCTTGTTGGAATTTGTAGACAGCGTAAAAAGGCAGTCAGTGAAGAAGAATCAGAGGAAAAATGATAAAGAAACAGGACAGGCAATCACCAACATTCATCTATTAACTATTTACATCAATGGTGTTTCATTCTAATACCATTTTGGTATAATAGTTCACTAAAAAAAATAATAATAATACTAAGGGTTAATTTCACGGACTCCCCCTTAGGTTTGGCCAAATATCACCCTCAAACATCTTTCGAAAATAACTATCACTTAGGTCCATTTTTACTTTTCCGTCATAGTTTCCGTTAAAAATATCTAAAAGACAATTTTGCCCCTACATACCCTTTGACTTGGTCAAAAGTACTCTTTAACCTAAAAAAATTAAATTAAAAGATAACAATACCCCTGCAAAAGCAATCATTACGCACCCCCCCCCCCCCCCCCCCCCTTCTCTCTCTAAAAACCATACAAACTCTTCGCCAATCCTCTACTACTACTCTCTCTCTCACATTCTGTATCTCTGACTTTTTATCTATAGATAAGATAGAGATTAAGCAGCAGTAGCAACAACAAAAGAAGGTAAAAGACGAGAGGAGGCAAGAATATAGTAGTCACAAAGCATGTCTGTCAGCGTTAAAAACAAACACCTCCAGAAAAAAATTAAAAATAAAGAAAATTAGACTCTCTCTCTCTCCTAATCTACGAAATCTGTCATGGCCCATGGATGATGATGACCGACGATTGTGCTGCGTAATATTTATCTTCAACAGCGGTCATCGCCATCCATGGCTGCGGCCCTTGGAAAAAGACAGATTCGAACTGAGTTCTTCTCAGCGTCATCATCATCCACCACCACCGTAACCTTCTATCCACAACAATTCTTTGCCATCAATTGATGTCAATTGTAAAACACAGGAACACTTACTTCTCTCAATTTCGGAACTAACCTAACCAGATTCACAATCTCGTATCAAATCAAAAACACATTCACACACATCTGTGTTTGATTGAACCAAATTTTTTTTTTTTTTTTCCACTGATTGAACCTAATTTCACAAAACAAAGTTGGCATCTCCGGCGGCCGTGATGGCATCTGCCTGATTTAATTTTGATGGTTGAGTTATAGAATCGGTGGTTGTGGTGGTGGTAGGGAGAGAGAGGAACTGTGTTGTGGTGGTGGAGAGAGAAAAAGGGTAATGTTGGTGGTGGTGGAGAGAGAGGAACGGAGATGGTGGTGGTGGTTATGGTGGTGGAGAGAGAAAGGTACACTAGTGGAGAGAGAGAGGAGTATTTATGTCTTGTGTAATATATATATATATATGTTTGGTATATCTATATAATTTTGTAAATTTACAAAATTATAGGGATATTTTAGTCTTTTAATCCAATTGTTTAGGCAAAAGAGTTGTTTTGACAAAGTCAAAGGGTTTTTATGTCATTTTATATCGTGTCAAAACTGTTCAACTAATTGTTGGGGTGTGAGTGAAAAACGGAACAAAAGTTTGTAATGTGAGTGATAGTTATTTTCGATTGATGTTTGAGGGTGATATTTGGCAAAACCTGAGGGGGTGTCAGTGAAATTAACCCTAATAATAATAATAATAATTTGGTATAACAGACCACCTATAGAGTGCCTTTAGACATTTTTATAGGGTGCTTTTAAAATTTAAAAGCTTCCAAGTTTTATGTTAACAGAAAAAATCCTTGTTAAAATTACACTAACCAATATATCACCAAATAGGATTTGGAATTTCTTAAACTAAAATTTAATTAAATAAGTCTTGTGCTACACCAGCCCAAGGAAATATTCCTAACTGCTTTCAAAGTGGAAACTCGAGAAAATAGAAACATTTAGGAAATATAAATTACAAAAGAATTGAAGCTTCCTAAAATAATAAATTTTAAAGGAAAAAAGGATTTCTTAAATTCTAAATCAGACTCAATTAGTTCCTAACAAGAACAAGAACTAACAAACCCCATAGGTCATAACTATTTCTAAACTAGACAACATACAATCCAATCTCTTTGCCAAATTACCCATATATAACGATCATTCAAGTGCAAAGAATATCCCAATTTTCCCTTACTTATTAATGTGCTCTATAACATGTTCACAATGGACCACTTGCACCTGGCAGGTTTTCTCTCCTGTGGTAATTTAACTTTCTAAATAAGGAACTTTTAGGGAATGTTCACAATTGTATGACTGTGATCATATGTACACTAGATCATGATGGCTGCTACAATGTTTGTATGCTGCACATCAAGTGTGCAGATACACTATCTGTCAGATGACAAACGGCATCTAAATAAGGAAGTTTTAGGGAATGTTCACAACTATATTGCTAGTTTCTTGTCAATTTCAACCATAGAGTGCTTATGATTGTTAAATATCGTGTAGAATTAGCATTCCTTTCCATGACATTATTAAAAGAAAATGGCATCTAAATAAGGAACTTTTAGGGAATGTTCACAATTATATTGCTCGATTCTTGTCAATTTCAACCAAAAAGTGCTTATCATTGTTAAATATCGTGTAGAATTAGCATTCCTTTCCATGACATTACTAAAAGAAAAAGGCCATTACAATTGTTAGTCCCTACCTATTGAGGGTTCGGAGAGGGGTGGATGGCTTTCAACCTGCCTTTGCATTATTTCCACAAAGTGAATATCCTTAGGCTCAAATCATGTTCTCATGCTTTGTGTGCACCCATGCTTTTACGAATGCATAAAGCAATGGTAAAAGTTGAAGGGTACAGACTCTTCCTTGCCATTATTGAGTTTTGTATTAATCAACTGAATTTCATGGCTCCTGTACCAAAAATAGTTGAAAGGTCACTCTAATAATTGCATGGAAAGATGATATTGGAAGGTATAAAAAATGATTTATGAAAAGTATTCTCTTGATTTTCAGTTTCCTTACTAAATTGTCTCCCATTTTTTTTCTTTAATTACATTTAAACTACTACGACATATTGAAAGACATTTTAGAGAGTGACATGAAGTTGAAAGAAGATGCTAATTTTTGCTTCTTTTTTCTTTAATCAGATATTGGAGTGGGACAATGTTGGTATTGCCAATCTTGCTGGAGTTATCAGTCTTGCTGCTGGTCTATTAATGTGGGTGACATCGCTTCCTCCAGTGAGGAGGATAAATTTTGAATTGTTCTTTTACACACATCAACTATACGTAGTCTTCGTCGTCTTCTTGGCATTGCACGTTGGTGATTTCATTTTTAGTATAGCTGCTGGTGGAATATTCCTCTTTATGCTGGATCGCTTTCTCCGATTTTGTCAATCACGAAGGACCGTCAACATAATTTCAGCCACTTGCCATCCATGTGGAACATTGGAACTGGTCCTTTCAAAACCTGGAAGTAAGTATAATTCCTAAAGGCCTATTTGCTTGTTTTTATGTATTTTATCAGCATAGTTGTCACTGTTTCCTTTTTGACAATGTAGATCTGCAGTATAATGCCCTCAGTTTCATTTTTCTTCAAGTTCGAGAACTATCTTGGCTGCAGTGGCATCCTTTCAGTGTTTCATCTAGTCCTTTGGATGGCAAATATCATATGGCGGTTCTCATAAAGGTTCTCGGGGAATGGACAGAGAAGCTAAAAGGAATGATCTTGAATGTCTCCGAAGACGAACCTCAAATAGAGCAAACCTTTCAGCCTCATCCTAAGATAACAGTTTCTGTAGAAGGGCCTTATGGGCATGAATATCCGTACCACTTGATGTATGTATTCTCTGGATCAAATAGATGTGAATATTAGATGCTAGTTACGGTGTTTTTTGTGATTGATACAATAATAACCAACTTATAAGAATACACTACATGCACCGCATACATATATAGGTATAGTGACTGGTATGATGATTAACAAAGGAATTTGCTAATGGACTGACTAAGCCATTTTTATTCTTTCAGGTATGAGAACCTTATTTTAGTTGCAGGTGGCATTGGAATATCACCATTCCTGGCTATCTTGAGTGATATTCTCCACCTTCTTAGGGATAGGAAACCTTGTTTGCCGAGAAATATTTTAATAGTCTGGGCTGTGAAAAGATCAAATGAGCTTCCTCTTCTTAATACAGTTGACATAGAATCAATATGTCCTTTTTTCTCTGATACACTGAATCTTGATATCCAAACTTATGTCACTCGAGAATCAGAACCTCCACTGGTAGGTCTACTTGTGTTTTCCTTAACTATATAATTATTTCTACAATTCTAGTTTAAATTACTTCTTCGGTTTCTGGAATCTGACTCTTGTTAACTGCAGGAAGAGGGTAAAGTTTACAAGTCTGTGAACTCTTCTGCCTTCCCCGTCTCCAACAGCCGTAGCATGTCTGTTTTGGTTGGTACTGGAAATATCATATGGTCTGGAATTTATGTTATGGTGTCTACTATTGGCCTGGTTATCTGTGTGTGGTTGTTGGATATTTATTACATAAACCCTTTTGGTATATCTTACTGGTGGTACAAAGGGCTTCTGTTTATTGCATGCATGACTGCAAGTGTGGTTATATTTGGGGGTTTTGTGATTGGCTTATGGCATATTTACGAAAGGAAAACTTCAGAAAAGGAGGTATGGGCAGATGACAGCCAGAACGCTGACATTGTGCCGTATAATGAACCAAGGGCACACAAGGAGTCATCCCAGGAAAATTTTTCTAGTTCAAGCACCATTCAGTACGGTCGCAGACCAGATTTCGGAGGTATGTCTCCATGGTGTTTTAGTGTTTTTTTTGCAAGAACTCAAAAAACTGTTTACTATTTTCAGAGAACTATATAAAACGGTTATTTGAAAACAACCCTTTTTTCTAACTGAGTTTTCAGGAACTCTCAACCAAGCAGATTTTTGTACAGTTTCCTGATTATCAGTTATCAGAAAACTAAACCAAACAGGCCCAGAGTGTCTGATCCTTAGTTCTCTATATATAACTGCCCACAAGTCTTTGAAAACCAATTATTGTCTATAGATTTGAGTCAACCCACCTAGTCGAGATCCCAAGTTGCAATTTTATTTGGTGGTGACATGGTTACTTCCATTGCTTCTTTTCTTTTGTTCTCCGGATACCTTCAGTTGCTAGACTGCGAACAAAGTTTTCAATTCTGTTCATTTGCTTTGGGTTTTTGAAGTTTCTGTATTCTAGTATTATTGCAATATTTTTCTGCCATCTATATTCTGAAAAGTAAAAACCATAAAACTATCCTTTAGAGGGTATCTGGAGATGCTCCAGAAAAGGATACTTGGGTTCTATACTCCAAATATTTTCTTTTTGCCTCTGTCTTTTGATACATAGTCCAGGACAATCCCTCCCCTGACCTGAAAATTTGGAAAAGTTAGGAGGAGGATGGTAGATGACACTAACCAACCTTGACAAAACTGTAGAAACTATTATATAGTCCCGGGCCAATCACTAGCCAACACTCAAACAAATGTGTCAACCTTGTATTAGTTTTATTCAGTTTTTTGCTTGCGTGTCATTAGTGATTGGATGGGACTATGTAATAATTTCTCGATGAACTGTGAAACCCTTTTGGACTTGCTTCAATTTTCAAGATTGAGATGCTAGTTTTCTCAACTCTATTTTCTTGTCCCTTTCTGCAGAAATATTTGGATCCATATCGGAGCGTTGGGGCCACGTTGATGTTGGTGTCATTGTGTGTGGTCCCTACACCCTTCAGACAAGTGTTGCTAAAGAGTGCAGGTCACAGAATTTAGGAAGAAAAAGCAATCACCCAATCTTCCATTTCAATAGCCATAGTTTTGATCTGTAGCTACTTCCATGTATCTTTTGTATATCATATTCCTTAGCTGAAATAGGCAGAATCATCCTATTGTGAACTGGACATCAGCTTTATTCTATGGAGCACAAAAACATGTATATATACAAGTATATATGTAGAGACTGAGAGGGAGCTAATATAGGGGATCTGTGATCCCTAGTCAAAGTGAAGCCTCATGCTTCATGTTCCATCATTACTGTATATAACTAAGCATTTTTATATGTTATCAATATAATTGCAGTTTCTATTTTAAATTATCTACATATTGTAAGACTGCAAATAAAATAATCAATTGCTTTCTTGCTCTCTCTCTCTCTCTCTCTCCAAAAACTGGTCCCCCCTTCCAAAACCATATACATCTTAAAAGTTTCTATGTTCTGTAGCAAATGTGCTAATGCTGTGGAAGGAAAAAACAAATTAATGAAGTCATTCAACTACTAATTACATTTTTTTCTTTATTTAACTCACACATGCCAATTGACTTATAGTTGGCATGCCACTTGAATGTAACTAAGAAAAGGGGGATTTGTTTGGAAAGGGAGTTTTTGTACTGTCCACTTCATATGGTAATCTTAGAGAAATTATTACATGATTTCGGAATCAATCATGAAGCGACACATTAATAATTTTTTATTTATGCATTGCTTCGTGATTGGCCACGACCATTTCTCACATATTCCCAACTGATTTTGCTGTTGGGCCATGTTTGCTCCCTTAGAGCTTGTAATGTCTGGTCTGAGATAGCTTGGCTATTGGGGCCTTTTGTTCTGGCCTAACCATCATTGTAATTACATTATACCACACACACACACACACGATTTGCTTGACTTTTTGGGAAAAAAAAATTGCTCGGAAGTAGGACTTCTTATTTGGAGGGAATAATAACATATTTAGTTTTCAAAATTTATGTATGATACTCTCCTTTAAAAGTTAAAAAACCAAAATGAGATCAAACCTGATTAAAGAATATATGAAAAATACTTGACCAATGCTAACTTTTTTTTTTTATAGTAAATTTTAAGGGATGGACCGAGAAATTTCATTTAGGGGCACATTATTAACGCATGATGAAATAAATTTGTTAGTAAAAGAAAACAAATATGAGAAAACTTTGAAAGAAAAAATAAATAGGATTTAATTGAAGAAAGGAAATTCAAAAAATTTTTAAAAAAATGAAATAGAAAGATTTTTTTTGAAGAAATAATAATTTCATGGGTAGGCCCATGCATGTACAAATTTAATTTTCACCTCCAAATTAATTGGTCAAAGTCTTCCTTTCAAATGCCAACTAATTTTCTTTGTCACCAAGCACCAAATTAAACTTCCAAATGACGTTACAACTATATAATATTCCCTTGGCACTTCCTCTCCTAGGTGACGTGTGATGTGTGAAAGTGAGTGTTTTTTTTGGGGAAATGGTAGCTTTATTGATTATTTAACTACTAATACATTGTAGAGACCCTTGTGGGAATTAACAAAATATGGGAAGAAAATAAAAATTGTTTTATTTCAAATCTTATAATAATATTTACCTTCTTATCATGTTTAATACACATTTTCCTCCTGCTTAATAACATAATGAAGATTTGTTGTATCTAACTTTACTACAGTTTTTCTAACAATATTATTCTACCACTACATTAATCTTAAACCAAAAATAGCTTTCCTTTTACTTTTTAAGATTTTCTTAGTACTGCATAATGATTTAATTGAAAAATTATCACAATGATTTGGTTTATTTCCTCTAAAAAAAAAGTTGAAGATTTATAAATGTGAAGCTATCGTTTGTAAATGATATTATTTTTAAATTAATAACATGATAATTACCAACAGGTCAGTAGCCTAATGATATCAGGTCCCTACTTTTTAAAAGAAGATTTAAAAATAAATAAATAAATAAATAAAAAAGTTAATGCTTAATATATGAACGCATTTGGCATGAAAAAATAAATAAAAATGAGATCAAAACTCCACTATATAGTATTTTGAATTTTTTGTTACTGAAGCTATCTATTTTTAGTTAATTTTAATGTACTTTTTTTCTCATAGAAAAGCAGTGTTTTTCCAAGTAATAAAAAAAATTAGATCTTCAAGTACTCTTACCTCATGCTCTTAGATACTTTAAAATCAGTTAATTACGTTAACCATATCCTTATTTTCAAAACAAACACAAAATAAACAACTCATTAATTTTCTTGTTAAAATTACTCTTTTAATTTTCACCTCCAAATTAATTGGTCAAAGTCTCATTTCCTAAACATACCAACTAATTTTCTGTGTCACCAAACACCAAATTAAACGCAAGCGAAGAACTAAGGAGTCAGAACCCTCTTATCTCATTCTCCTCTTATCTCATTCTCATTCTCACTCCCACACACACCCCACACCCTCCCTTTTTTCTCTATGTCTCACACACACGCATCATAACCCCCTCCGTTTATCTCTCCTCTCTCTCACTCTCTCCCTCACACACACACACACACACACACACACCACACCCCCTCCCTTCTACCAACTAATTTTCTTCGCTTCCAAATTCCCGACCTGATGCGTATGGTCCAAAGAATATTAGTTACTAGACAAGGCTACGTAGAGGAATTAGGTAAATCTAAGTTGGAATTGTAGCTGCTATCACAGTACTGTACTTCCATGGCCTGCCATTGTATACATACTATTGCTCACAATCGCTATTGGTTTTCATCTCTGTCCTCATTGCCATGGATGGACACTCTGCTCACGAACCCCTTCTTTCCAGTGAAGGCGGTGTCGACCCAACTTATCTCGAGAACAAGAAAAAGAAGGCTGCGATTCGATTTTTCGTGACTTTTGCGAAATGGGTTCTCAAAATCACAATGTGGGTAATTTTCATTGCTTGGGTTGCTTTTTTGTTTATAACGCCATCATACTCTGGGATCAGTCTGTATGATGAATTGCTTGCTGCTATGAATGGAACTCTTTTTGGTGACACAGGTAATATGTTTGTGCTATTTTAATTTGAATTGAACTGCTTACTTTGCTCTCAAATATGTGTTTATATATATACTTATACATATATATGTATGAGGGGAGCCTTGGTGGTAAGGTTTGCTCCATTGTGACCTAGAAGGCAAGGTTCGAAACGAGGAAACAGCCTCCCTGCACTCAGATAAGGCCGAGTGTACATCTGACACTCACTAGACCCTGCAATGGCGGAGCCTCATTGGGTTTGCACCCTGCAATGGCTGGAGCCTTGTGGGGATTGCCTATATATATATGTGTGAGTGTGTGTGTGTGTGTGTGTGTGTGTGTGTGTGTGTGTATGTATGTGTGTATCTATGCATTTATGTACATAATGTATATATGATGTTAGTATTTGTTTGGCTAACGTTTGTTGCAATTGCAGGAGCTATACTTATGATGTATGGTGGCCCGATTTTCATTATTGCATTTCTTGCTATTCCATATCTTATAATCATCTCCTGGGAAGAGGAAAATCAATTGCAAGAGTAAGTTTTTGGTTTCGTTGATTTTTATAGTATGCAATGGTTGGCCTTTTTCTGTAATATAAGATTGATGAGCTTATGGCAATTCATTGAATGAAAACTTACTCTTTATTGTAGGAAGAAGGAGAAAAAAAGCCCAAGATTTCACTTAGGGACATTCCCAATTCTAGTAGAAGGACCATTTGGGGTTGTTACTGCTGCCGAGTTGATTGGGATAATCCTCTTCATTGTGTTTGCTATCTGGGCCATTTATTCTTATACCGTTGTGAACTTCATCTTGTTACCAACTTATGGCGCTATGACTCTTTATGAAAAATGGTACATTTTTTAGTAACTACATTACATTCTTTTTACATCAATTAGAAGAGGGATGCATGTTTTTCACCTTGTATACCTTTCCTTATGCAGCTATTTCCTACTTTTTCTTCTCATTTATCTTTATATGTTAGGCTCTCTGATTGCCAATGACAGTAATTTAAAACAAGGTGACAACTCCCATACCAAAACTGATTGTCGGACAAACAAGGGTGTTGCTTGTTAGTTTAATGGGATACAATAGATTATGCCTCCACTATTTCATATTGGTGAGTTGTTTTCTGTAGAATTCAACTATTGCACTCTTATGATATCTAATGCTTAGAAGTTTGAAGTCCAGACCTATCTATCTTCCTGAAAGGTATTACTAGGTATGTTTGTTTGGGTCATGTCTCTTCATCCACACCCTTCTTTTGCTTCATCATTTTAGCCCTTAATTTTTATCCCTCTAGACAAGAAAGATGCCTTTGAAGGATCTTGATTTGTATAATTACTGTTAAATAAACATCTATTTAACATCACACTTCTAGAGAAAGGGTGGGTTTGGGGTGAGGACATACTGTTTAGATGGAATAGAAAATTCATCAAATCTCCAATTTCAATGCAGTATTCTGAAAACAACTCCTTAATTTAGCAACACATACCTGGACTGATGTTCTTCTGTATTGTTCAAATGCAGTCTTTTATAAAGTTTTGCACTCATTTCAAGTCAAATAGAGTTTCTTCAAAAATCAATTCTAATTTCTTACATATAGGAAAGATTGCCTAGCAAAGCTCTTAAAATTTTTCTCTTCCCAATAATACCCCTGCTTCCATTTTTTCAACCCAACCCATAATGAGCAGCTTGCCCTGCCCATTTGCGTATGGGATGAGTGATCATTAATGTCTGTAATGACCTAAATTCCCAATGTTGATTTTAAATTCTCTATGCATCGAAACAACATTTAGCTTTTTACTTTTATCTTTTTAAAATCTAGTTCTACATTTGATTTATCAAAAAAAAAAATCTAGTTCTACATTTGGAATGAAATTGAAGGTAATATAATATCTGTTAATTGAGGGTGCTGGAAGGACCTAACTTTGGTATAATTTGCACAAAGTGGTTTCCCTCAAAGTTGAACTTGATTTCTCATGCTTGGCAATCAATTCTCTTACTGCTACACCAAACAATAGTCCCTTAAATTGCCATTACCAAGTGAGGTCCCCAATGATTGAGGGTGGTGGGAGAACAAACTCGGTTTACCCTAACTTTTGACTTTATTTGAAAAATGTGGGGTGGCATGACCTTTTATCATTGATCTAAGCAGTGGGTTTCACTAGTTGCTGAAGATGTTGTTTCGCTGAGAAGTAACTTGATAAGACTGGAAACCCATGGGATTAATATAATTTTGACCACTTGTATAATATTTATATCGTACATTGAATTTTTTATATTTTAAAGTTGAAACAAGTTCTCATTTTGGGACATTGATAGTGCACTGCTCGGTCATGCATATAGTGCAAAAAGGGTTTTCTTTTCAACGTGGCATTTTGATCCTGTTTCCTACAGGCTTGATCAATCTGAAGGAATTAATATGAGTTGTGGATTTCTTTCATTCTTTTATTTCCCTTTTTTTCTTGCCACCCCTCCCCTTCCCCCTCTTCCTTTCCAATGTATGTAACTATAGTACCTAAATTATATGATTACTTAACAGTTATCACTATTGAACTAGTAACCATTTGAACCATAATTCTATAGTGGGCTCGAAATATAGTACCTAATTTATATGATTACTTAACAGTTATCTCTATTGAACTAGTAACTCATTTGAACCATAATTCTATAGTGGGCTCGAATTAATTTTATCTATGGCATAATATTGGTTTTATCAGCTAAATATCTGTTGTAATATGAATTCTTTGAATGTTTCAGGATTATAATGGTGCGAATGACAGCACTTATCTTTGGTTTGACTGCCTTAACTTGCTTGGCCTTTTTATTTATCCCAATTTCAAGAGGATCGATTCTTCTCCGTCTTATTAACATACCTTTCGAGCATGCTACCAGATATCACATATGGTTGGGGAATTTCACGATGTTCATTCTTACTCTTCATGGAGGAACCTATATGGCTGAATTTATAATGAGGGGCGAATTACTAACGGAAGTGAGTTATTGTTCTGAATTTTCACCTGCATACATGCACATTCATGATATTTTAAACAAGAGAGTTCCTCAAATATATCCATTTGCTTGTTCCTTGCTTAAGACACAAACACCTAGTGCAGTGGAAGTGTAAATCATCCCATTACTTGAGGGGCAAAATTGTCAAAGCAAAGTGTTATTTTCTTCTTTAGAGAAAAACATGAAAGAGCATTTATGGAAAAAAGGCAGAAGGATCAGAGGTAGGTAAAAGATGATGAAATTCGATATACAGTGGCAACTTTGGCAAATAATACTATTTGTGAAATAATAATTCTTTCAAAGGTGAATTTGGTTGGAGTTGTAAAGAGTTTTTGGTTAAATTTAAAATAATAATAATAATAATAGAAATAACGCAATATTTTAAAATAAGTTCAGAAATGTATGGGAATTCTGTAAAAATAAAGAATGAAGAACTCTTTAGATGGTAAGAAGGCTCAATGCAATCTGATATACTTGCTCTCAAGGCAAGACAACAATATGGAAGAAGTAAAGAAATAATTGAAACGGAAATGAAAATAATGAATTATTATTAGCATCAATCTATTATGGAGGAAACGCCTTTATATTGGTAGCATGACTCATATGAATCAAACATTCTCTCTGACATGCTTATACTTGTACTATATATGCTCAAATGTGTCTAGATAATTAATATTACAAACTCAAATTTTAAACACATGGTCAACACTTGGCAAGTCCAAGGTGCACTGAACGCAGTGGAGCATGGCTGAGACTGTTTTAAATAGAGAAGAAAGGATATTATTGTAACAGAGATCAGTAGATCTGTACATAATCATCAAAAGCTTAGCTTACTAGGGGCAGAGAAAACTGTACACGGTAGCTGGTTTTAAATATCCATTTGCATCCATCTCTTGAAGTGAGTGCTCACGTTTCATCTTCTATTGCAATTATCCAAATGCTTACTTGCACACATTTATATTTGCATGTGCATGATTCTGAATTATTGTTTGCATGTTTCCCGGGTGAAAGACACGGATGTGTTCGCACAATGGAAGCGTGAATAATCCCTTCAGTTGAATGACAAGATTGTCAAGCTAATTACTGTCTTATTCTTTTGAGGAAACCATTAGAGCTTGTATGTTGATGGAAAGCTTAGAAACAATCAGAGATGGGGAAGCATAAATGCAGAAACTTGAGTTGGTATGGTATAGTTTGCCATATATAGAGACCTGAATAACAAAAACTAAAAAGAAATCTAGGCATCAATGTGAAATCGAAGTGGAAACTAACAAAAGATAAAATTGTTGGGAAGTCTTTAATAGTGCACTCTCTGTGGAAACTGACAAAAGCTAAAATTGTACGAACTCTTCCACATACAGTCAAGAAATCTCACCAATAGTGGAAAGTAAGAAAAGAATTGGAACTCTCTTACCGAAGAAACCCTCCTAGGTGGAGAGAATAGTCACGCAACAAACTTTGAGAAAATACCAGTTGTAAGTTTTAGGTATACTGAAGTTTTCTCTCTAGATAGCACTAGAAGTTACAAATTGTTAAGAGATTATGACTCTTTTGTGCACAGTCAAGAAATCTCATCAATAATGGAAACTAAAAAAAGAATTGGAGCTCTCTTACCAAAAGGAAATTAAAAATCTCTAGAGATGGAAATCCTCCAGGTTGTAGGTATCAAACCTTTATGCACTCACCTTTCTCTCTCACCTCTTCTGTCTCTTACCTATACATGAGATATCTCTTGGGGGTGAATACTCTGCAAATGGGAAAGTTAGAGAATGAATCTTTTTCATATATATCAGCATCATTATCTTTTCTATGCTTCTTCTTTAGTTTTCCAGGACTTCCCAAATCCCTTTAAATGAGAAACAAAGGGGTAGAGGAAGACGCTTAAAGTTGCATATATGTTTTGCTTAATATTTTGTCCATGCAGATTTTGGAGTGGAAAAGCGATCGTGGAGCCAATTTTGCGGGGGTTATTTGCTATATATTTGCTCTATTGATGTGGGTGACATCTCTTCCTCCTGTAAGGAGGCGATATTTTGAGCTGTTCCTCTACACACATCAACTCTACATACTCTTTTTCATATTTATGGCCTTGCATATAGGAGATACCTATTTCAGTAGAGCTGCTGCAGGAATCTTCCTCTTCATGCTTGATCGCTTTCTAAGATTTTGCCAATCACGAAGGACTGTCAAAATAACTTCAGCCACTTCCTTTCCATGTGGGACAGTGCAATTGGTCCTCTCAAAACCTGGAAGTAATAATATTTCTCCACATGTTAATTATTTATATATTTTTTCATTTCTTATTACGACAAATGATCTGGTTTCCTTTTTGGCAATGTAGATCTGCAATACAATGCCCTCAGTTTTATTTTCCTTAGAATTCGGGAGTTATCGCGACTACAGTGGCATCCTTTCAGTGTTTCATCTAGTCCTTTGGATGGTAAGAATCATCTTTCACTACTCATAAAGTCTGTTGGGGACTGGACCGGAAAGCTAAGAGGATCTACCATGAATATGTCTGGGGAGGAACAGCAAATAGAGCTACCTTTTCAACCGCATTCTGAGATTACAGCTTCTGTAGAGGGGCCTTACGGGCATGAATCACCATACTACTTGATGTATGTACTCACTACTATATAAGACGTGCATCTGCATACTCTATTATTGTTCTATGATTTAATAACTGATCCAGTAAATTACTTTTTACCAATAATAACAATGAGATATTTGATGCAAAAAGTGACTTAGCTCCAATGTGAAAACAAAAATGTAGGCAGTCAATCCAATTGTGACCAAGCTGTCTTTGACAAACTTTTAACTTTGTGGGGACGAGTTCAGGCTTCAGCTTTAATTTTACAACATTTCAGTTAACATATTAAGTTGATTGCTTAATTCCCTAGTTGTACCGATGAGTTTGGATCTTACAAAGCAGGTCCTCCAGGGTATAAAGTTTTCATAGAATTTGTAACGGTGTAATTTATTAGATATTGTTTTTCACATTTCAAGTTATTCAATAATAAAAAAATCTGGAAGGCTGACTTGATCCATCTGCGTTTTTCAGGTATGAAAACCTTATTCTAGTAGCAGGAGGCAGTGGGATTTCAGCTTTTTTGGCTATCTTGAGTGATATTTTTCATCGTATTAAGGAGAAAAAACCTTGCTTGACCAGAAATATTGTCCTTGTTTGGGCCATAAAGAGATCAAATGAGCTTCCTCTTCTTTATACAGCTGGTGTGGAGTCAATTCCTACATCTTTATCTGTTAAACTGAACCTTGATATTCAAACTTATGTCACTCAAGAATCTGAACCTCCATTGGTAAGTCTACAGTAATATTCTTCCAAATATAATATCTCTTTTACATATATATATATATATTAAGATCACTTACTGGTCTGTTGCAATCCTACTGTTGTTATCTGCAGGAAGAGGGTAAATTTGACAGTGGTGTGAACTCTTCTGTCTTCCCAATCTCCAACGGATTTAGCATATCTTCATTGGTTGGTACTGGAAATATTATATGGCCTGGAATTTATCTTGTTGTATCCACAGTTGGCTTGGCTATTACTCTAGGCTTGTTGGATACCTATTACATAAACCCTTTCAGTATATCCAAGTGGTGGTACTTGGGGATTTTATTGTTAGGATGCATGGCCGTGAGTGTTCTAGTTTTTGGGGGTCTTGTGATTGGTTTGTGGCATCTTTGGGAAAGAACTTCAGCTGAGGAAGAATGTGGGGTTGATGGGACAAATTTTGACACGGCGCAGCATAGTGAACCCACAGAGCTCAAGGTTTCACGTCAGGAATATCTTGCTAGTCTAAAGACTGTTCATTATGGTCAGAGGCCAAACTTCAAAGGTATGTCTACATGGTCTGCCAATATCTGTCGTTAGAAACTTATAGTTATAACACTTGAAATGACAAACTATACGATCAATATAATTATGAACAACGGCACGTTAGCCCCTTGACAGAATTTAAATAAAAATAATAATAAAAGATTGTTCCTTGTTATAATTTCAAGCAGATGAAGACATTGTTCAAGCTCGAGGCTTGATAAACTTGACGTGTTGTTGGCAAATTCATGTTTCTAAAACAAACACTTTCAAGTATTTGAAAAATTAAGCTTGTCGTATTTGTTTGCGTGTTAATCTCTTTTGGACTTTAATGTCTTACAGAAACATGTTCTTGAATCTTGATTCCATTTCCTTTTCTCTGCTGCAGAAATTTTCGGATCTATAGCAGAGCGTTGTGGCCATGTTGATGTTGGTGTCATAGTATGTGGTCCTCAAAGTCTTCAGTCTTGTGTTGCTAAAGAGTGCAGGTCACAGATTTTAAGGAGAAGATCCACTGACCCTATCTTCCATTTCAACAGCCATAGTTTCAGTTTGTAGCCACCATAATCTCTCTCACCCCTTTTCTTTTTGTAATGCTATTGTTTTCGTTAACATAGGCTCTCTCTCTCTCTCTCTCTCTCTCTCTCTCTCTCTATATATATATATATATATATATATATATATAGCTCAAGGAGAGTTGCTGAGTTTCAACCCTGTGAGGAACTAAAAATATCATATATGTTTGGCCAACATTCTTGTTACCGACAATTGGCAGAGCCCAATAAAATATAAGGTGTGCCGTGGCATGCCTAATTTTATTAAAAAATGCATTTTTATTAGGTGGACAGACTAACGAAGTAATATATGTGAACCAGTGTATCTATTTTTATTGGGAAAGAAGAACAAAGGGTGATAAATAGAAAATTTTTAAGGCAGTTTGTGTTGATGTCACATGTTTGGCTTTATTTATTCATATTAGGCCTTCCTAAATTTTTGGTGGGAGAAACATAAGTCCTCATTTTTTATGATGGACGGTTACATCTATGCTCGTGTGTGAATGAATACGTATATATATATATTTTTTGTTGGATGTCTTCCACCCACACGTTATACATGCAAATACTGTAAAAATCATGTCCAAAATAGGCATATGTACATTGGACAAGATGGTTCAGCACATAATCTAGTAGTTGAGATTGCATCATTATTAGTGAGTTTTATTTATCAATTTAATTTCAATCACTGAATTCTTTACTAGACCTCTCCTGCACTGAAGAGAATCCTTGTCCATATACATAGACTTTTCCTCCTGACAAGGAACTCTCAACCCCACATTGCTCTTAGAATTTGAATCATATATATTCCAGTTATAAAAAATAAAAAAAACTCCTTTTTCTTTTTCCTTGATAACATTCATCCTTAAAAAGGTATGTGTGTGTGTGTATATATATAAAGTTAGATTTTGTATTGCATCTGATTTTGCACAAGTACATTCATTCAATAAAACCATGTGGTATTTTGCATTTCCTTTTCTTTTAACTTTGTTCCCAATAACTAAAATTTCTTTATTCAATTAGTACAAGTTTTGAAGCATCAACCTTAAATAAAAACATTACAGTTCACGCGACATTGATTATAAAGATTCGCTTCTTCTCATCCAATGACAATCAGTCTCAATCCCCCACTTAATTTGTGTTAATAAAGTTATTTTTTCAAGTTGTGTACTGAAGATCGAGATTACAAGTCGATTGAATTCTTTATAGTTAATTGATTGGTCAATCAGTATCATAAACTAGATTAAATTAATATATAAGAGACACATGTATCCAATTATAAATTATGAAATCCTCGTGACAACACTATAAACAAGATATATAAATATTCGTATTTGAGATATCCAACTTTTTAATAGTAATGAAGTTTTACTATTTTTTTAATTATATTAATAGGTGTAAAATTTCATATTTTTTAATTATATTAATAGGTGTAAATTTTCAAAGTTATTTTTGTTAAAAGATAAAAGAATATTCCATAATTGATGTACAAATCAATATCAAAAAGATAATTTAGGTATATGATAAAAATAATATATTCATTTGTAGAATGAAACATATATTTTGCGGCATCTCAATATAAGAACCTGGAAAAATTTAAGACAGAAGAAGAGGAATATTTTAAATGTAAAAAAGTAATGACAAAAAAATATAATAATCATATCAAAGATGATCACGAGTGATGTAAATAAATTTATTAGGCAAGAAAGGATAATGGAGTGTTACTTTAGTAGAAAACAAAAGGGTATTTTAGTGGAAAGATGTTGTCATATTTTAAATCAAGGACTATGACGCATAGGTGTCAAATAGACTAATTACAAAATTAGGTTTTGTTTTTTTTTTTTTTTTTTTTTTTTTTATGAATAGGCGGGACCAAACTTACATCTGCACTCCTAAGTTCACAAGGATTCAGTTGATAATCACACTTAACACTTACAGTGAATTGCCTAACTCAATAATTTTTAATGGACTATTTATACTAAATATAACTAAGTGAAGGGTTCCACTCTCTTATTTATTACATAATTGACCAATTAAAAGAGTAAATCTAGCAATTTATTACTGTTATTCCGTGCAAAAATTATTATTTTTTAGAATATAACATGTATTTTGAAACATCAAGATGAGAAAAATTTTAGGACACAAGAAGTAAAAAAAATTAAATGTAAAAATGTAATTACAAAATAATAATAATAATAATAATAATCATATCAACAACTACGTTCCCGAGCGACATGGATTAATTTATTAGGAATTTAGGACGTATTATTTTGATAGAAAACAAAAATCCTTGATGTTGCTATATTTTAAGTCCGGCTTAACCAAATAAACTCGTTACAAAGTCGGTTTTCTTTTTTCCTTTTTTGGTCGCACTCCTTTGTGATTATAGGATACACACGTTGTATATAATAAGGTAAAGGAACTAGTAAGCAACTCCAATTAAACAACTCCAATTCAAATTTCAATTCATTCAAACAAACAAAAAAATTCCTTCCCTTTAGATTTCCTGTCTGCCCTAAACCTAACCTAACCCTAGCCCTTGGAATCACTAAACCTGCCTGATCTATCTCCTCTCCTATCTGTTATGGCCATGGCGGCGACAACGACGACGACGACGACAACAGAGCTCCATGCTTATTGTTTTGGCGTCGGTGATTATATCAGGACAGGTGATGATGAGGATTCAATCGACCTCAGAATCAGTTTCCAAGTGGATCAGACTTACTATTCAACCGATAAAGCCCGTAAAAGCAAGCGCGTGGAATGTATCGGAGAGATAGCATCACAATTTCCATATCACTCCCTAACCGCTGATTGCATCTCCACAATGATCGTTTGAATGAACATTCCCTTCCCTTTAGAGAAGATGCAATATTTAGGCACCCCCAGAACGACGGAGGAGGAGGAGTATGAAGAGTTGCAGAACGTTGACGACCTAATCACTCACCTTTTTGAGGAGACTCAATATATATCTTCCTTGGGGATGATTATTATGGCTCCAAATCAGAAAGAATATTAGGCAGGGAGAATAAGAAGATTGTGGAGTTGATAGTTCTCATTATGAGAACAGGCTTTTTACCCTACATCTGGATATCCATCAAATTGAAGCAATGGATGAGGAGCGGGAAGATCAGGGTGGGTGGAATTGCTTCTGGGATCAGGATCAGGTGGTGGGGTCGGTCTTTGGACTTTGCTGCGATAGGGAGGCAAATAGGAAGGAGCATGAGGGAGACAGCGCCGGAGGGAGCGCTCTTGGACGAGAACTATGAAAGAGAGTTGGAAGTGTCGTTGTTGGAACAAGCTATGGTGGAGTACTTCCCGGCAATAGAGACGCTGACGATGAGGATGATGATAAGAAGGGGAGGAATTAGGTGGAGTAGTTTGTCATATATGTAGGAAAGAGGTACTCATTGGGTCGCGAGCCACTAGCTTGCCGTGCTCTCACGTATACCATGTCCGTTGCATTGTCCTGTGGCTGAAAAGGGATCATCTTACGTGCCCCTCGTGTTCCTACGTGATTTAATTTTACACTGGAACTATTTACTGTTTATGTTTTTAAACGTAGCTACTGCTCCATCTACAAATTTTGACTACGTACATGACTACCAATTGTTTCAATATATATACACACATTAGAAGAAGCTGTGATTGTTAATGTTGCAATACATAAAGTTAGGATCTTGGCATTTGGTTCCATTAGATATCCTTATATTGCAGGAATTTTTAGAGATTTATGTCGAATCTTGTGGATATGGATTTGGGCCACTTAGTCTAAATTAAATCCACTGTTTAATGGAACTTTAGGAACCAGAATTAGATTATTAGAATGTTAGTGACATCCTTGATCAATTTGACATTCCAAATTATTTCATATTTCATATTTTTGGGAATAAATAATAAGTATTTTAGATAATATCTATTAGGTTTTATTCCAAATATCTGCGGAGAGGTTTTAATTAGGCTCACGGAATGCTCACGTAAAGTATTCAGAATTCTCTCTTCCTGGAGTCAGCTTAAGAATCTCTCTGTCAAACATGTATTTGAGTGCTTTAACTGCTTTCAAATTTTAATATGCCAAATCTTTTCTTAAGAGGAAAATTATACTGATAGGGATCATTTATCATTAGAGCTTTACACACTTGAGCATGAATTCACTGGTACAATATTGGAATAATAATTAAATTTAGCAAACACAAAATCCTTAATCTTCTGAAAAGTGGTTCATTAATCAGCCTTCATTGGAGTTTTAGATGCTTCAGCCTATATAGAAAAAAACAGCCAAGTTAAATCACATTTCATAGTCCAATGTTAAATCAAATTCCAAACAAATTATTCTAAATTCACGTAATTAGGCACCAAATGATTCATCAAAAAAGATCAAACTCAAAATCAAACAGGGTATTTGTCCTCAATTGCAAAAACCAAGTCTACTTGTTGATTATCAATTTCTCATCGGTTGCAACATAAAAATTACAGTGACTGTGTATACATGTTTTTGTGTGTGCATTCATACATATACCTAATTATATCTAAAGATGTATGTATACATATATATAATAAACAAAAGGTTAGTAAACTCACAGGGAGGCCAAAGATAACGACTTTCTTGTCCTGAAAATTAAAATAGACAAAAAGAACAAAAGAAAAAAATATAAGTGAGATTAATAAAAACACAAAATAAAACCCTTAATAGGTTTAAAAACGTAGATAGATTGAGCTTAGAATTAGTGAAACTTGAAGATGTCTTTGAGAGGGGTTGTGGAGAACTTAGAGGAGACACCTTCGTCCCAGCTTCGAGCCTTCTGGAGGGAAACAGCGGGTGCGGCCGAGACTAGATCCGTCCCCACTGCAACCGAGGCGTAAGCCCTTGAAGCCGCTGCGATTCGGAGACTTCCGGCCATTGACTTCATCGTCGCAGCTCGTTTCAACATTGCAGAGGCGTATCGGAGAAATAACATCACAATTTCCATATCACTCCGTAACCTATGATCACATCTCCACAATGATCGCTCGAATGAACATCCCCTTCCCTTTAGAGAAGATGCAATACTTAGGCACCCACAGAACGACGGAGGAGGTGGGAGTATGAAGAGTTGCAGAACGTTGACGACCTAATCACTCACCTTTTTGATGAGGCTCTATATATATCATCGTTGGGGGATGTATATTATGGTTCCGAATCTGAAGAATCTACAGGACCAGGCAGGAAGAAGAAGTTAGTGGAGTTGATAGTTCTCATTATGAGAAGAGGGTTTGTACAGAATGAGGGAGACAGCGCCAGAGGAAGCGTTGTTGGACGAGAACTATGAAAGAGAGTTGGAAGTGTCGTTGTTGGAACAAGCTATGATGAAGTGCTTCCCGGCAATAGAGACGCTGAAATTTGAAGGTGAAGGTAATGATAGTAA